CCAGTAAAAAGTTTTAATATTTCCGACAAGCAAATAGTAAAAATTCATTATAATTGAATCACAGGAAATATTTGAATCGAATTGCGAGGGAGTGATGTAACGTTACGAAACTCCATTTTGAATTTTGTAAAATTTTTGTCGTTAAATATCAACGATTTTGCATCGAACCGAAATGTGTCTCCCTTCATTCTAGATTCATGGAAAAGTTTGTTCGAATTCGACGGTTCTACTGGAGCGATCACCCCTTCTGATCTGAACTTAGGGAACTTCGTGTATACCACGCTCTTCCAGCAGTTAATTCCTAGCACTTGTGCTTTTCTCATACTTATAAATTTGCACTTGCCAGACAGCTCGAAGTCTGAAGTCGTAACTAACGAAAATGTTGGAAACTATCTTTATTCGTGCCTAGAGAAATTACAATTACAATTCTAGTTTATTACTTAGGAAACAAGGAACAGTGAAAGCAGAAGGATAAATACGAACCTCGTCACACGGTTGAAATAAATTAAAAATATAACAGAACACGAATGGAACTAAACTGGAACGGTACAGAAGATCAAGTGAAGCACTAAATCACGAGTGAAATATTTGCTTGTGTTTGACAGCTCTTTTACATTTTGCGATTGTTCGATGGAAAATTCATTTATTTTACATCCGCAATATATGTCGAAATGTATGAGCAGTATCGTTTCAAAGATATGTTTCAAAAATATTTAGACAATATTATAAAGCAGGTGTCTCGAGGATTTCTAATTTATTCCATTGAAAAGATTGAAAGTGACTTTGAAATGACCTTGACCCCCTCCATTCAGCGACCTTTCTCTTTGAAGACTCAGGTGCCTGAAGTCTCCTACGAGGTCTTTTAACCTCGCCGTGGTAGTTTTTAAAAATTCAACGTAGCTTCCGAAATATATGCGTTTAAAGATTAAAATGGGACACCCTGTGATGGGTTCTTGAGATACGAGGACACGCTCCGAAGTGGTTTCTCGAGATACGAGAATTTATGGACATTGTGAGACGAGGAAGACAAAATACGGAATAGAATAAAGAGACAAATAGAGAAAAGCAGGCATTGATTGACAGAAAATTTTTATTTCACCAAAGGTTGCTCTACAGAATATTTTATGCAACAAATATGTATGCGAGAGGTACGTTTAAAAGCCCTTAAAAAAAATCTGTATTATCCAAATCTGTACTTGTAAAAATATACGTCCATGAATTCATTTTATCCATGGATATCGTACAAGTATTCAACACGTCACGGTTGTATACAACTCTTAGACACTATAGATTCTTATTAAATAGAAGCATGAGGAGTACACATGGTATACGACTATAGAACACACATCATACACAATTATTCGATTAAAGTTTCAACCTAACAGGTTTCGCAGTTTTTCCAAGGAAAAGAATCTCAAAGACACTCTGGTTATCCAGTCTGCATAGATGAAAGGCTTCTTAACGACGTTCGCACAAGTGGAACCGCGAGCTTAGATGTTAGGTCGCGGGAAAACGAGCCTGCGCAGCTGTGTCGCGCATCTATTAATCGCCTTAACACGCGAAACCGAGAAGCATCAGAGAAAGGAAAGGGGTAGCGTGAACGGAACCATTTGCCGCCGGGACGGAACGAATCCGTGCCAGTCATTGTACCATAATAACGTTAAAATGACTTTGCATTTAAAAATTCGGAACAAAATACCTAAGTTCCTCGAAGAACCGAGCAATCTACACTATCAGAAAACACAAGTTCGGCATCACTACGTGGAATTCTTCGCAGTCCACGCAGTGATACGAAAGCAAATGGGCGCGTCCAAAATTTGCCAGGATTTCCAGCTCGGATAACCTAATGCGTTCCTCATTTTCATTACCGGTCCTTCGATATTGGCCCCACACCACATTAGCATTCGTGCCCGCATTTGCCGCGCGTTTTACCCTGTAAAACGAAAATAGCGTTCCAGGGAGTAACAGACTGAGCGGCTTGGATGAAAATGCTGTTAACCCAGGGTCGCGTGATAACCGTGGAAAATTGATCCTGGTGTTTAAGATCCTGCACGTTCCATCGTGATTCCGCGTTGCTAATACGCGTTTTGTTCTTCCCACTGGTCGGCCAAGCCCTCGCAAAAATGCGGGGTTAGAAAGCGACGCAATCCCGCTCTGTAATTCAAGCCCGATGGAAAATCGTCCTTTATTCGATTTCAGTGAACCGATTGTGACCGCGAATAAATTAAAGCGCGAATATACAGAGTGTATTTCAACGCGTAGAATCCGCTTCGATGGTGGATTGGGGACAGTGGAAGAGGTTCGTGTAAACGTATGGTTTATTTGGCTCGTTTATCTTGATAGTTATTAATTTCTTACTGAGAATATCTAACCGACTCTACTGGAAAATTGTAGACAATGCATGATTAGATATCAACGTCTGTCAATGTGAAAATAATACTTGTTAGATTCACTTTGCTGAAAAGGGCTGATCGCTCAATTCGGAACTGTTATTTATGTTAAATATTTGATTAAGCTCGCAAGGAGTACAAGTTTGGTCCCCAGCCGAAATTTTGCACGAACATGTTCGCTCGTAAGTTACGCTCTGGAGATTTGTGAATAATTTGGCCGTAGTTGAAACAGTGCACATTCGCACTTTATACAGATTTAAGTCTCCCAGGTTTATATTTATGGAGACGTCTCGAGTCTCTCGTTTATGGTACTACTGTTTCCGGCGTGCGTAATCTCTGGAATTGTATTGCCTCTTCGTGTGACAAACTTACGGAAACTCTGAGTATTTTCGAAGATGTCGGAGGGTCCATGAAACGTCGAAGAGAGGCATAAATTGCTGCGGATGTGAATCGTTTGTAACAATTTCCTTAAAAGAGGAAGCAAAGGAAAAGTGTTTACGCTTCGAAACGAAGGAAATTCCGTAGTCGTGTTTACAGACTTTTAATCGATGATCGGGTACTTTAATTCGACTCGGTGGATTAGGTAATTTCTGAAGGAAGCTAAAATAAAATTAATTTCGAAAAATCGATAGACTAAAATTATAAAAATAATAAGGTCGTTCGATATCTGAAATTAAGTAGATAACGTTCCTTCTTCATCCTAATTGCGGATGGCGAGTATTACCATGCCACAGAGCACACATTAAACTTAACGGGGATAATAGGATATTATATCGCATTCCAAAGATTTCGCATATTCAGAAAATTACACTGCTAAAATATTCTCTGTGAATTTGAAATTGCAGTACAAGCTTCTAGTATTATCGTCGAAATAAATCTTAGCCTTAATAGCGTTGCAGAAGAGGTCCAAGGGTTGTCGCTTGGTTAAAGTCACGCACTGCGCATGTCATATAGTGGGATTATGATACGTCAATCAGTATCTGATACTTTCACATCCCGGGTTCTTAGCCTTAAGATTCTCTGAGATTGCAGGGTTTAAGCCATGCACTTTTGGAAGAGCATTACCATGTTTCGTCACCAGCTAACTTCGTTAAAATTCCGTAAATGCATTGACACTGTACACGGATTATTATCCTATGATACCAAGTATTATTACTTTGTGACTGCCAACCAGTCTGCTCCGCAGTAAGTAACTCCGTAAAACAAATAAGATTCGCAACAAATTTGTTATCAGTTCGTCAGCGGAACAGTCATTAGATAACTTGGTGGAATTTTGTAACTTCGCCGAACGGTCACGCGGAGTGCTATCGGCAAGTATAATGCATCAAGAAAGTTACCAATTTTATCGAACGCAAGACCATTTTGATTGATTAGTAAGGGCTAACCAGCCCCGTTCCCGAAGCAATTAAATTCTCATCCGAGGATAATTCACGTCCGTGCTGAAGTTCTCTAAAGTACGAGCGATCTATCAAGTTATACTGTCTCATTATTTTCTTCCGATGTCAGCCGTCAAAGTTTCGATCCGTAAATTGAAATTTAACTGAATTACAGTTAATACGAAATGAGCAATTTGACGTAATGCGGACAGTTAGGAAGAGACCATTTATTTTCTTATAAGGCGCAATTAAAATCATCGCGGTCACGAATTAAAAATATTTAAATTGAATGCTACAAATCCTTTATCTATTTTAGGCAAAATATCGAGTGCGATGCTCGGATGCGTAAAAATAGACGAGAGTTTCCAAAGTTTGAACGTCGATGTCGACCAAACGTCAAAGTGGAGTAGTGGTTTATGACATTGCTTGTATCGACGTCCAGCGCTCTACGCTAACGACCAGATGTTTTATAACTAAAACTAACAGTTTACTCGACCAGCTGAGTTTACGAGGCAACGATGTAGCCTATGCGTATACACTTAAAACTTGAACTAATTACGAAAAGGGATAGAAAATGAGGAAGGCAGGAGTTAAAAATACAAACTAAACAGTATTTCATTCATTCTGAGCTTCGTCGATTCGTCTCCCGTTACAAAGTATTCGTTTATATAAATTTTTCATCAATCTTCTCCGTGGTCACGTTTCTCATCTTTCCTCTCGATCATTGTCTCCCGGTGAATCCAAAACACGTATTTTCGTTTCCACAACTCGCTCGTAAATTCGATCATGTAACTTCTCTGTTTCAATGCTTTGCATGGCTGAATTTGCAACAGAGACAGATACCCCTACTGCGTTGTCTGGTTTACAAGAACCTCCGTTCTAAGACTCCTATATGTTTACTTAGTTTACTCCCTTCCAATTTATCTCTCCATGCTGCAATTGCTACAACCCCTTCGCCTAAATTTCCCTGTGCTCTCGTCGCCCGTCCAAATCCCAAATTTCCCTTTTTACGTGATTCACTAAGCGTGATCTTTGTTGTTATATTCATCCAGGTTTTTATAACTTGTATTACTCTTATAAAGACGTTCGTCTTGTGTCAAGTTAAACTTACAATTCTGCAACTCGTTTGAATCAGTCACAGTCCACCAAAAAAATTCTCGGGGAAATGGTTCGAATCTCCCTAATTTAAGGACGCGTAAAATTGTTGATGTCTCGTTGTTTTCATAATATACAGGCCTGACATCCGTCGGAGACTAAAGGAGGTCGAATATCCACTGCTACGAGCCAGTGATCCGAAAAAGTGACGGAGAACGTCGCAGAGAAGACAAAGGAATCGGAGGAGGACGTCTTCCAAGCTTCTCGGTTTCCTCCCGCGATCTCATTAAACGAAACCCTGAAGAAGAAGCGTGGGAGTATCTCGTTGCCACAATAATTCGCCGGGTGATGTTCATTGTTGATTATTCAGACGAATTTATCGCAACTCGTTGTCGTTGTCTCCTTGCGCCCGTTGAACTTGTTGATCTTCGCGATTGTGTACCGGGTGCTCCGAAATAAGACTCGGGCCGTATCAAATTTAACAGGTGAAAGGAAATTCCAGAATCGAAAGAACTCGTCGAGCATTCTCGAATTAACTCTCGCGGCGGGTGCTCGATGAGCAAACCGTTTCCGGAAGCTCTAAAAGGTCCAACGCAAACCTGACGAGTCAAACGAGCGAGGTGTACAAGATTCCGGTTATCCGATTTGCAGAGGACCTCGAGTGGTGGCTGAGAATCTTACAGGGTATTGGAATGGAACGTGCTCGACGAAAAACGGTATTGATGAAAGAAATACTCGGCATTCTCGGTAGAATTATAAACTAACTTCGCATTCTCGTAGTACCGAGCGAGTAAACTCGCGGTCGAGTGCCGGGATATTTCGCTGAGAATTATTGAAAAGTAGTCCACGCGAAGTAAGTAAAAGAGGAATAAAGATTGTTCAGGACGAGAGGATACCGGTGGAAGCATTCTTGAAGAGCTATGCGCCGAGAGGCAGAACCTCGCGTTGATACCGAATCCGTTAATCAGCCCGAGTGTGTACCGGGTGTCCCGAGGTGAGCGCGTTCGACGAAGTTACGCGGAAAGATACTCACGAGGGGCGACATTAAGAAATTCCAGGAAGACCGGAGTTTCGCGCGGGAAAGTTCCGAGGAGTGCTAAACTTGTTGACCCATGCACGTAGAGACGAGATTCAACGAGAGAAACCACCCGGCGGGAATGTAATATCATCGTGATGAATTCCCGAGATTCGTAGTAAAATTTCTGAAAGCGACACCAGACGCCATCTAGGGACGTGATCGAAATCACAAGGGTGGAACGGGGGGATACTTGGAGCTAAGCGGGGGAAGATTGCATGTATCACTGTTTCCGATCGGTACTCCAAAGGTTCTTTGAAGGAATTCAATCGGAATTCACTTTCCGCGTAGGCCCAAGTTGGCAGACAGACACCTAGGAAGCAGAAGGTACTGATCAGGAAACTGATCAAGCCAGAGGACTGCTTGCTGGCTCTATTAAAAAAGTTACTAAATACTGTTGGAAGAGTCCTTTAAATAGACTTAGAGAACTGGCCTTCTCGAATAGGCCTAAGTTAACAGAGAGACTCCTAACATCTAAGGAGCAGAAGATACTCTTAACGTATCGAGTCCTCCAAGTAGGATTCACCCTTCTTCCACAAACCCAAATTCTCAAAGAAACTCATTCATCCCTTGCCTACATAGGGGATCGTTTTCAAGCACCGTTGATAGTCCTAGTCCATTAAATAGATTGAACAAGACTCGTCCTCGTACGTAGGCCCAACTTTTTCTAGGAAGTCCAAGGATGAAAAGAATGGAAGAACATCCCAGAGAATAAACAGGCACGTCGAACGAGGTTGAACACAACGAGATTGTTTCTTGTTGAATAAACACAGACTACAACAGGGAAACTTCCGGAACGATCCGACGAAACGATACCACCAGCTGAAGAGGATCAAACGATAGCTTGAACAATCAGCCAGGGAAACGAGTCACTTCCTGCCAGATGACTTCAAGGAGGGTCCACGAGGATTCGGCTGACACGTCGTCGATATTCGAGTACGAGGACACGATAAAGTTATAATAACAACGGGTGTCTTGGTTAACTACACGCAAAAATCTCGTACGACCCCGAGAGAGGTATATTATAGTTGAATTCCCTCACTTATCCCCCAAAATCGCAGAGAGAGAGAGAGAGAGATATATATATATATATATATATTCATATACCTAGATATATGTATACATAAATAATATATTGATGTTAATCGGAGTTATTGATTGATAATTTTCTCATCCATCGGGCACACCCGTTGGAAACTGTTCGTTAAAAGTTTGTGGGTGGAAAGTGTTGAGGATTGACGCGGGAGGGGGGACGCTTTAAAACGGTGGAAAGATGGCGATGGTAATATCGCCTCGTAGCAAGATCGTGACTCTGTCATTATTGATCGGTATAATTACGCTGGCTGCGTTGATAATTACTGGTGTGGTGGGGATATGGCACAAGAGCGAGAAACCGTCGAAGCCTGGAACGAACGTGGTCAGCAGCAAGCTGCAGCAGATCACCGGGTATACGGCTACGAAACACGTGAGTAAAAGATTCCCTAACGAGCCGTAGGGTGGTCCTTAGGGTCCAAACGTTTGTCGAATTTTTTGGTGGTGCTAAAATCCTTCAAATGATCACATTCGTCAAGTGGGTGTTCGAGGGATTATTCGTCAAATAATTATAATAAACTAATCAGGAATGGTGAAATGAGGACCACCCTAACGAGCCCTCCATATACTCTGCACCGAATGCTTCTGCAAGTAGTGATTTCCAAAGTTATGAAACTGAGCGATGTTTTTGAAGAAATTATTCGTCGATGAAATTTGACAAATTGCGATATTTTTTTATTCTGCGAAATGAATAGTATATATGCCTTATCAGAATAAAGGGAACAGTTGATTGATAGATCAGTTTCAGGTGAAGAAGAATGCGGCACTATGAGTAAGTAGTATACAAACAGTGAAATACGTCTTATAAAGGCTGACCACTGTGTCTGACCTATCACAAGGCTCGACTACTTCCACGATCTTTCTTTCGGTACTAGAAAGATTAAAACAAACCATAAATATAAATTTAATCGTAACCAATCCAACTGCAACGTTTAATAATTCACTCGCGAAATAATGTTTAATAATTAATAACCTTAACTGCAGTTCGAAAAAATTTAATGAAAAAGTAGTCTGAAAGAGAAATAAGAAATTCCAGTAAAGTAGAAATATGAATAAATTTTTATATAATTCCGAGCAACGGACCATTCACATTTCGTAAAAAATTTCTCCCAGCGACAGCTGGAAATTTCCAGCAACAGATGCACGAGCCAGTAACTTCCATGGTCTCCCGAACCGTTTGCTCGTTTCATGAGCTTTAATTCTCGTCATAATCGAGTCGCTCGTTCCTGCTCGCGTTGTCCAGCGTTTCTCTACTCGGAGAATCCCGGAAGTTTGTGACACAATAGAGCTGCATGAGAGTCAGACACTCGGCGTGGCCTGATTTCTGATTCGGAATATGCGGTTTTCGTCGCTCTCCTAATGCACCCACACATCGTGCAATTCGACCGTGCATCATTTAGTTAAAGTTCCACCGAGACGTGTACCCGACGTGGTCGTCAATCTGTTCCACTCTGGTCTTCGTTGAGGACGTTAAGACAATTTCCAGACGTCGGGCAGTTGCCGAGTTCGTTTGAAAATTGCGCAGAGTTTGCGATACGAATCGTTTGTACGCGTTTCGGCTTTGAAGCCCAATTACCTATAAGACGTGAGAAAAGAGTGGATTTATGCTGATATTAATTGACTCTCGTCGGTGATGGGGTTTATTCGAATTGATATCTAAATAAACAAAAATTAATTTCATTTGTGTGCTATACACTATGGTTAAACGTTTGTGGATAGAAAGTAATATTCTTGGTTTGTAAGAGCGGAAGTATTACGCCGTTTCGTCCTAGATCCACGCGAAGATTCACGAGTAAGGCTTTTCAAGCGCGATTCTGGCTTAAATGCGCTTACCACTTGGAAGCTGTCTCTTATATGTGATGGCTTCGGGTCAGACGCAACAGCGATGTGGTTAGGCTCAGATATAGCACCTGGCTGCTCTTTGCCTCCTTGCACACTTCATTTTCTTTAATGAACGTTTATTTTAAATGCATAATATTTGCAAGCTCTGCGGAATAATGATGTTAAAACAATAGGAAATAAAAATCTGAGTAACAGTCATAAAGTGTTTAAAGAGGGATTAAATATTTGGACAGCCTCCATGATTCAGATATAACTTAGATGGGATAAAAGTTGTTAAAAGAAGTCATTTAATGGCGATAAAAGAGGGCATTTAGAATTTTAATATAAATTCACCCCTCTGCGGTCGTTTTCTTTTTCAGGTTCATATCAAAACTTCAGAGTCGACCATTTTATCGCCTTTATTATTTTTTGCTGTTTCTGAAGTTTTATCTAAATTCCCTCACCTTAGAGCCCGTTCAAGTGTTTAATCAGATTTTAACCACTAGGTGTCTGTTACCCCAATTTTTTTCTGAGATTGATCTGTGGACTCTTGCGTACAATGACATGCCACTCAATATGGATGTTCGACTTAATTATTACAAGTGAATATTAAACAGATAAAACAATCGACACTTGAACGTTACATAAAATATATAGAAATATGTTATCTTCTATTTGCCACGAAAATGACAGTTCTAGGTAATATTTCTTGAGAAAAATGGACTTCGCGCCCCAAGAGCATCCATAGAATCGTTATATCACTCCAACCTCTGACATGATACTGAATTCTCTTCAAAATGAAACTTTACCGGATTTTCGAAATCTCCTGAGCTTTCGTTGAAATTAAGAGACATAACTTTACAATTTACCCTAATACTCATTTTTATTAATAATAAACGTTTAGACCACGTTCGTGGCCTTCTTCAGCTAATACATGCATAATTTATACTAAAATGTAATCGCAAGCAAAATTATTTGACGGGAAGTTATTTTACACGATGCTCTAGTGTTGAGCAATAACTTGTAACCTTGTTGACATTTCTCGTTGGTTCGGAAGCTTCTTACAGTTTGTAGACTAAGAGCAAACATTGTCGTTCGTTTCAGTAAAGAACAAACGTGCAATCATTATGTGTTACGTTTGCCTTGGTAGTGGGTGCTTTTGGACGCGAAACATTGTGGCCTACATTAGGGGAGATTAGGATTACCGAGCATTGAATACACACAAGATAATGTTCCCTTCGACAATAGCAATACCTTCACCACGTACTTGTTGAAACAACCGTTGAAACAAAAATCAGGTTAAGAAACGTTGGTGCTACATATTACCCCGCTATGGTAAACCTCCTTCTCGAATTTCCCTCAGAAATTGTATATACCTCCTCTCACAGAATGCAATAACTCGGAAAATATCCGCAATGTGTACACATCCATAAAACATGGGTATCGATGCATACTGCTTGAACCAGCCGAAGTCATACAACCACTGAAAAACAATTTCTCTCGGGGAAGACAAGAGAAAGATATTCAAGGTGGCAACGCCGGCCGCGACACCTTGTGCATTAATATTTATGGTGGTGTCCTTTACGGTATCGCAGGACACGTGTGTCGAATGAATAAGCGTGGAAACGCGACCCCGCGGACGACCACTCATAAATTGTTCATCAATCACGAAACCTCAAGGCGCGTCTCCGAGCTCTTCGTGGAGATCTTCGTAGAATCCCCTCGCGATTGAAGCAGCCACGCTGGATTTTACGTAATTCCAAAAATTAATCGAGGACCGATCGATCGCGTAAACTTGGAGCTTCGTTTCACATTGGTCGGGAACAGAGCGTAGGGCTGCATACTAAATGGAATGCATAAAACACGATGAATTTATTGTCAGGGGATGCTCACTCCAAAGACACCTGTACAGAAGAGCGCCATTTTAAATAGAGAAGATTGACGAGAAACTAAAGCTAAACAAAATTTTTGTGTTATTCGAATCGAAGGATTATAAACCAGTTGAAGAGAGATCCTGCCCTTCCCATCCCTCAGCCTCCGCTGAAAGGGAATTTTTTGTTCGTGCGCAACTTCGTTCTTGCCAGTCGACGAATCTTTCTTGTCCTTGCGCGTTATACGCTTCGCTCATCCTCTCTCTCATGCATATTAATAATATTCGACGTAAACTACGCGGGGACGCCGGAAGTTCGTAATCGCGTCACGATGTGCCTCGTACGAGGTAATACCTCGTCGCGAAACAGCATTATTTTTCGATCAAAGCTGAACCGTTCCGCGATTTGATCCTTTCGGCTGCGAGAGAGCGTCGGGGATTTGCGTTGAAATGTTGGCTGCTAGCTCATAGGGAAGTTGAAAAAATGAAATCATTGGAATTGTTCCTCAATGTAAGCAGGAGTAGATTTTTTCTAGAGTTTTGTTAAAGCTTAGAAGTTAATACACAATTGTAAAGTTTTACTCTGAAATTGGAGAAATTGGCTAAGTTACAGGACTTTAAACTGAACGCCCTATATACTGTAACACTGCGCGGCAAACTTTAAAGCCGATTTTCTTGGAACACCATGCTTCGAGCTCGTTGACGTAATATCTCTGTAGAAAATGAGCCGATTATATTGAAATTTTACACACATGTAATATAAACATCCCCATTTCGTTTCCATTAAAATCACCTCAATATCGATGAAAATTCGATCAAGGATAAGTAGCGCAAGACTACTATGATCAGCCATAGATTGAAGTTTGATATACATGATAAATGTAAGGATTCTTTAATCATTTAGATGCTGATGTCTGGTTTCGTCTTCAGTATTGAAAACTAATGAAACCGTTTATGGTCTACCCAAGCATAATATTCGTAAATTTTACTTGAACTTTATGCTTTTAAACTTGCCAGGACCACGAAAAGATTTATCGTTAATAAACGTACAGTAAAACCATAATTAACCTCAATTTTAAAAAGTATTATAATCCACTCTCTACAATGCTCTGCTAAAGTTAAGCGCGAGTTTACACTTTTGGACCTTCTAAATCCGGATTCCGTGAGTTCTAACACGCCAGTCTTCCACGGCTACGTATATTCATATGTACGTACATATTAATACTACGCGATGTTAATCGCAGCTCTTAAGCGGCAAGACGGGATAACAAATGATACTGCGCGCTGGTATCACTCGAATAAATTTTCCCTGATTTATTCCAGCTAATTCTGGGCAAAATTACGCGTCTGTGTTCAAACGGGAGGCACGACAAACTTATTTCGTAGCCCTTTTTACACAAATTTGAATCCGACATTACATAAAATCAAAATATGCACAATTAAACGTTTGATTTTAATGCCTCGTTTCTATCTCCCTATTTCTCTCCCCCTCTTCGATTTCCTATTAAAATATCTCCATTCGCGTTAACGTGTGCGAAATTCGATGCATTAGTGATGGATTTTATTTTTGAATACAAACGCTAATAACAATGTTCGTCGGGTCCGATATTACTCTGACCCGATATAGTATCATCGCTGTAAGCGATTTCTGATATAATTGAAGCACTGTGCTCGCGATCAAA